GCCTGCAGAATTCCCACATTTCCCAGACTGGAAAACTCCCTCAGCACTTTCCAGCCTGCAGAATTTCCAGGGCATTTCCCAGACCAGACTGGGAAATTCCCATGGAATCTCCCAGATTGGAAAATTCCCATGGCACTTTCCAAACTGGACGATTCCCATGGAATCTCCCAACCTGCAGAACTCCCAGGGCATTTCCCAGACCGGAAAATTCCCATGGAATGTCCCAAACTGGAGAATTCCCACGACATTTCCAAGAATAGAAAATTCCCATGGAGCGTTTTCCAAACTGGAGCCTTCCCAAGTCATCTCCCAAACTGGAGAATTCCCACATTTTCCAAACTGGAGAGTTCCCATGGAATGTCCTGAACTGGAGAATTCCCAGGGCAAGAGGGAACAGGAAGTTCTGGCTCTGCTGAATGCTCCAGATCCCAAAAAAACATGGATGAGCCCGGAATCCTCCTGGGAAGCTCCCACCCTTCCCCCCTCTGCACTGGGATCACCAAATCCCACCTCAACCCAGCCCAGCTTCCCACTGGGAATTCCAGGGGAAAATCCCTCCACGAGCATCATTCCAACACCAATCCCACCAAATTCCTTCAGTATTCCCACAAAACCCTGGGAAAAGGGCACAAGCAGGAGCCATTCCCTGCTCCGACAAAATTCCAAACCCCATTTCCAAATCCTGACCCTAACCCAAACCCCAATTTCCAACCTGAATTCCCAACCCCGATTTCCAAACCCTAATTCCCAACCCCGATTTCCAAACCCCAATTTCCAAGCCCTGATTTCCAAACGGAATTTTTCCAAACCCCAGTTTCCAAACCCCAATTTCCAAACTAAATTCCCAAACTCCAATTCCCAAACCCAATTTTTCCAAACCCCAATTCTCCCAACCCCCAATTTTTCCAACCCCCAATTCCCAAACCTAATTTCCAAACCCTGGGAAGTTCCCGGCCCTGGGCGGGACCATCTGGACCTGCTGCTCGGCTCGGAATTAATTTGGAATTCTTCCCTGACCTATTTTTTATCCGGAGCTGATTCCCAGACGTTCCATTGCTCCTGACAGCTTTCCGTGCTGGTTTTCCTGCCTTTTTTTTTTTTTTTTTCCTATCTCTATTTTTTTTTTTTTTTTTTTTTTTTTTTTTTTTTTCCCTAAGGAAAATCACGGAGATGCTCAGTCCCAGGTGCAGATCCCAAGGGGAATTTAGGCCGGACCTTTGGAGGTCGTTTATTCCCAAATTTTTTTCTTGGATTAATTAATTCCATGACTTTGCAGGCAAAGGAATTCTCTGGTGCTTCCCAAAATCTTTCCTGACTTTTCTATCCCACCCCAAATTCCCAGTTCTGCCTATCAGGAACAGGGAGCTGGGAAAAAAAAATAAATAAAAGGGAGAAAGGATTTTTGGGATTGAGCCAAGTTCAAAATTCCTGATGCAAATTCTGGAAGAACTGATCCCTGTTTTCCTTCATTTCAGTGTTTTCATGGAATTCCAGGATTTTGGGTGGGAAAGGACCTTTAATCCCATCCAAACCCATCCCTTCCTACGATCCCGGGCTGCTCCAGCCCTGGACATTCCAGGGATCTGGGGGCAGCACAGGGAATTTTCTGGGAATTCTGTGCCATTCCCGCCCAGGCAGGAATTTTTACATTTTCCCCCTTTTTTTTTTCTTTTTCCAGCTGCTGATCCCATGACTCCGATCCTGTGTGCTGGGAATTCCCACCGCTCCCTCCATCGGCAGCTCTGGATCCGTGAATTCCTCAGGATAATCCAAGGAAATGCAACAAGTGTGGATTTTATTCCTGATCCAAACCTGCCTTTCCATGGAATTTCTTCCATGGGGACATGGGAAGGATTGGAAAGATGACACAAGGGACCAAAATTCCCAAAATATTCCTTAAAAAAGCAAATCCAACCAGAACAGCACCCACTTCACTCCTATTCCCAGAGGGTTTTCCCTCCTTGCCCCAAATCCCAGGATTCTGGGAATTAAATCCCTCAGGGATGCAAAAAGAGAGGGAAAACCTGGATTTTACAGAAGAGCAAATCCAGGATCATTCCCGAGTTTGGGAATGTCAGCCAGGCTGGAAAAACAGCCCGAATCCCATGGGAATCATTCGGACACTTCCAAGATCCAAAGTACCTGCAGCTTCCATGGATACAACACCGGGAAAATCCATGGATGCAAAACACCGGGAAAATCCATTAATCCCTCCCTCCAGTGCATCCCTGGGATCCATTGGAAAGTAAAAAGAAAAAAAAAAAAAACAGGAAAACCGGGAAAAATCCAACTCACCAACATCGGACTCTTTGTGGGTTTTGATGATTTCCGCCAGCTCAAAATTCCCTGCAATGATGGCCACCTGGAAAAGAGCCGGAAAACCGGGATGAGCGGCTCCGGAGCTTCCATATGGATGGGAACAGCTGCTTCCCATGGGGGAAAGCCAAGGATTCTTCTGCCTCGGATCATCCGGGAATTCCGAGGTGCCAGCGCCTTCCCGGGACAGCGGCCGGAGAGGGTTTGGGTGGCCCTGGCTTGGGGACAATCCCTGTCCCCTGGAATTCCCGGATTCCAGACAGGAATTCATCCCAGGTCCTGAAATGCCCCCAGGGTGTTGGTTTTGGATCTCAGGTAAAATTGTGGAATTTGGAAGAGGTTTGGGATCAGCCAATCCGGCTGGATGTGTCCCCAAGGGCCACATGCAAAGGATTTGGGGACATTTCCAAGGATTTGGAGTGCCCTGGGCAGCCTGTTCCTGATGGGAGGGGATTTCCCAGCAGCCAAATCCCCAAATCCCCAAATTCCCAAATCTCCAAGTCCTCAAGTCCCCAAATTCCCAAATCCTGAAGTCTTCAAGTCTCCAAGTCCCCAAATCCTCAAGTCGTCAAATCCTCGATTCCCCAAATCCTCAAATTCCCAATTCCCCAAATCCCTAGTTCTCCAAGTCCCCAAATCCCTAAATCCTCAAATCCCAAAGTCCCCAAATCCCTAATTCTCCAAATCCCCAAATCTCCAGATGCTCAGATCCTCAAATCCCCAGGTCCTCAAATTCCCAAATTCCCAAATCCCCAAATCCTGAAGTCCTCAAGTCTCCAAGTCCCCAAATCCCCAAATTCCTCAATTCCCAAAGTCTCTAAATCCTCAAATGCCCAAATCCTGAAGTCCCCAAGTCCCCAAGTCCCCAAATCCTCAAATCCCTGATTCCCTAATTCCCCAAATCCCCAAATCCTCAAATCCCTGATTCCCTAATTCCCCAAATCCCCTAATCCTCAAATCCCTGATTCCCTAATTCCCCAAATCCCCAAATCCTCAAATCCCTGATTCCCTAATTCCCCAAATCCCCAAATCCCCCAAACTCTAAATCCCTAAATCCTCCAATCTCCAAATCCTCAAGTACACAAATCCCTCAATCCCCAAATCCTCCAAGGATTCTACTCATTTTCCAAGGATTCCCCTCCATCCCAAACATTCCCATCCCAAAAAACATCAACGTCCCCTTCCCACCTCCGTATCCCACAGAACCCCACATTCCCATCCTTTTTTCCGGAATTCCATTTGCTTTTTCCTCCCTCCTGATCCGGCGCTGAACGCTCATCCCAAATCCCACCCCGGTGGGACAAATCCCACCCGAAAAATTCTCTGGATATGTGCCAGAATTCCCAGGAATACTGGGAAGCTCCGTGGGATTCCCAGGAGTTCTGCTCACCTGGAATGCCGTCTGGCTGTTGTAATTCCGGATTTCCTTGCTGGCACCTCGGAAGAGGAGAACCCGGGCACAGCTTTCCTGGGAAAAAAATAAACCAGGGAAAACGGGAATTAGAGCAGGACTGGGAGCAACAGATCCGGAGAATTCTTTGGGAAGAAGGAGGATGAGCATTCCCTAAGGATTTGGTATTCCTGACCCTAAAGGGAGCAAGTTATGGAATCATGGAATTCCAGCATGGATTGGGTCGGGAGGAATCTTTGGGAACACCCAGATCCAAATTCCAAGGATTCTGCCGATTTTCCAAGGATCCTCCTCCTTTTCCAAGGATTCCATCCTTTCTCCCAGATCTCTCCTCCATCCCTATGGATTCTGCCCCTTTTCCAAGGATTACGTTCCTTCTCCAAGGATTCTGTCCCAGCAAAACATTTTGGGAATGGGATGGATTAAACCATGGAATGTTCTCTTGGGAAATCCCAAACCAGGCTTGGGCTCTGAGAGGAACGGCCTCATCCCAGGACAGGGATGGATTCTGGATTCCAAAACCTCTGGATTTGGGAATGGGGAGATCCAGG